GGGCCGGAGGAGGGGGACGAAAGGCCAGGGTTGTGATGCAAGGGGGAGCACAGGGGGCATTGGGGAGTGAGGTTGAGATGGAGAGAGCGGAGGGGGCGGAGGAGGGGGACGAAAGGCCAGGGTTGTGATGCAAGGGGGAGCACAGGGGGCATTGGGGAGTGAGGCTGAGATGGAGAGAGTGGAGGAGAATGAAGACGAATGAGAGCGCGTACGTACCCTTCTTCCACCGAATAGAACGTAGTCATTTCTGCTGCATGTGGGCTAAAAGGTGAGCCAAATACGGCGGAAGACGGTAGCTGTTGTTGAGCAGTAGTGGAGCCTTGCGTCGGCGCCATGTAGGCGAAGAGGAGGGACAGGTGGAGATATATGTTGTGTGCTGATCTGACCATCTTCCCCCTAATGGAACGGACGGTCATCATGCCTGTAATTGGGGCTGCTTTCAGTATGCGCTGCTGATCCGGCCGTCTTCCCCCGAATAGAACGTACGGTCATCATGTGATTGGGGCTGCTTTCTGTCTAGGTACAGGGATAATGACCGTACGTTCTATTCGGGGGAAGTTGGGTAAGTGTTGAGACAGACCGTGTGGGTGGTAGATTCGGTAATCCCTTTCCTGAAAAGGAAAAAAACGGCGATGCTATGGCTAACGGTGGTCCCCCCCCCCCCTTTTATCATCACAGATCTAATACCATCCCCGTTTTATATATTTACTCCGTATTTTTTCGCAAATGAGGGTATCCTATAACAATGTTATATCCAGCTGAGTTCATCAGCATTCAAACTCGTGTGATCTGTTCATCGACAGTTACATGTGTGTTCTATTCCATGGACTGGATTCATCGCCGTCTTCCGTTCTTGTCCATGTTTCCCCCTTTTTTTTTTTTTTTTTTTTCCCGGGTCATGTCTCTTCTCCTCCCCTCGCTCCCCTTTATCCCTGGCCATGCGTCCTTTCTTCTTCTGGCTATTCACCCCTTTCCATGCGCTTCCTTCATTCCATCACCCTCTTCCTCTTTGATCTCCTTCGTCTTCTTCCTCTTTGATCTCCTTCGTCTTCTTCCTCTTTGATCTCCTGCCCTTCGTGGGGTTCGATCCCATGACCTCTCCCGCTTTTCCTGTTCTCGCCTAGGCTACCAGCCGGGCCGGCCGGGTTACCCTATTTTCCCAGGCGGCCCGGCCGTGCAAGGATACGGAAGGTCCCAGCCAAAAAAAAAAAAAAAAAAAACCCCAAAAAAACTATGTTATGCAGAAAAATAAACTGAACAACTTTTGCCTCAGGGCCACATCGAAATTCTTTACCAAATTCAAAAAAAAAATTTAAATAAAAAATATTTTTTATTTTTTTATTTCTTTTTGGCCCGGCCGGGCAAGTGGACCAGGGCCACTCTGGCAGCCTAGGTTCTCGCCACTTTCCGTCCGCTTCCTTTTTTTTTTTTTTTTTTTTTTTTTCCGTTTCCTTCATTCCGTCGCCCTCACCTATTTCTCCTTCGCCTTCTTCCTCTTTGATCTCCTGCCCTTCTTGGAGTTCGATCCCAGGACCGCCCCCTCTTTTTCCTGTGCCCCCTCTTCTTTTGTATGTTTTGAAAATTTTTGATCGGTCCTTCATCTCATTTCTTCAATGCTCTTCTTTTTCCTTTCTCCCACCGTCCTCTCCTCTGCCTCGTCTCGTCTTTTGCCACCTACCTCTCTTTTGATCTCCCCCCCCTGCCCTTCCCCTCTCTTTCTTTCCTCTGTTCCTCCATTCAAGCTGTTGGAAAAAAACTCATCCGTTGTGAATTCAAACGGAGGAACAGAGGAGGGAGGGGGAGGACCTGTGTGCTAAATTTTAATGAAAGGGGGAAGAGAGGAGGGAGGAGGAGGAGGAGGAGGAGGAGGAGGAGGGAGGGGAGGCAGCCGCCGAACACGACGCTGACAATGACGAACGGAGGACAAGGGGGAGTAGAACGGAGTGCACAAAGAGAAGGAAGAAGAGGTAGCATGATGTGACGATGACAAATATATGAAGAAGAAGAGGAAGGATAAGAGTGGAGGAGGCACACATCTGAGTGTGAGTGGTGTGCTTTTTCTGTAGAAATCTGAAGATGCAGAGAATGGGAAGGATCTCCAAGTAATGGAAGAGACTCATGAGACATAAACATGGCACCGAATCTATAAATAGAATTGATATAAGAATCTACATTGAGAAAATGAAACAGAAGGAGAACACGAGGAAGGAGGGAGGAGGAGGAGGAGGAGGAGGGGAAGAAATGGAAGGGACGGGCTTTAGATGAGAATGGAGTCGAGGAACAGATTGAAAGGCGATAAGGAAGGAAAAGAAGCAAAGGAGGGAGGAAGAGGAGGTAGGAGGAGGAGGAGGAGGAGGAGGAGGAGGAGGAGGAGGAGGGGAGGAAGAAATGAAGGGGACGGGGTTTAGGAGAGAAGGGGGGATGAACAAATTGAAAGGCCAGAAGGAAGGCAAAGAAGCAAAGGAGGGAGGGGGAGGAGGAGGAGGGAGGAGAGGGAGGAGGAGGAGAAGGAGGAGGAGGAGGAGGAGGAGGAGGAAATAGGTGAAGCGCTGGCAGTATGACGAGAGGTAATAATAAGCAATGGAAGGAGGAAAACAATGCAGGAGGAGAAGCTGGCCGCTGAGGACAAAGAAGCAGTGGTGGTGGTAGTGATAGGAGAAGAGGGAGGGGGAATGGTGAATAGGAAAGGAGTAGGGGGGCACAAATAGGAAGGAAGAGGGGGAAGAGGAGGGGCGGAAGGAGGAGAGAAGAGGAGGAGGGGCTGAAGGAGGAGAGAACAGGACGAGGTGGCTGGGGGAGCGATGTTGACGAGGAGGAGGAGGATATAAGGGAAGGAGGAAAGAAAGCAACAAGGATGCAAAGTTAAAAAATGCAACAAAGCAAAGAAAAAGTGGAACAAGAATGTCCGGAAAAGACAAAGACAAAAGGCGAAGAAGGAAAGCGAAGAAAAAGAAGGTTGGGGGAGAGAATTGGAAGACGAGGGAAAAGTAAGACGAGGAGCAGAGGAGGAGGAAGGGGAGGAAAACGCGGCGGAAGAAGAAGAAGAAGAAGAAGAGGAAGAAGAAGAAGGAGAAGGAAGAATAGTAATGGAAGGGGAGGAAAACGCGGCGGAAGAAGATCAGAAGACGAAGACGAAGAAGAAGAAGAAGAAGAAGAAGAAGATGAAGAAGAAGAAGAAGAGGAATAGTGAAAACAGTGGCCAACTGCCTTTCGTACACGCTTCGATAGCTCATCAATACATAGCCGCGCGTACTCATCTCAGCTCACGCGCACAATCCCCCATGCCTCAACAGGTAAACACCGGAAGAAGAAGAAGAATAGTGAATAGTGAAAACAGCGGCCATAGACTGCTTCTCGCACATGCGTCAACAGGTAAACATTACATCTCCGAATGCACTGTTCGTCAGTAGAAACAGTGAAAACGCATATTCGGAGTGGAAACAGTGGCCAACTGCGTTTCGCACACGCTTCAACAGAATTTCAATAGCTTTCCGCGCACACCAATCTTTTTTTTTTTTTTTCCTTTTTTTTCCCTTTCTGCACGGGCATATTAATCTCAGTAGCGCGTACATTCCCCTACCTGCGCGTTACGACGAGGAGCGTCCCTCCTGGTCATCTTACTGGGGAACCAGCCTTGCGGCGCCGCCGAAGAATCCCCAACAGAAGGGGGAGGAGGAGGAGGAGGAGGAGGAGGAGGGAAAGGAGGAGGGGCAAGGGGAGAGGAGGGAGGAGGATGTCGAGTTGTAGGAGTAAGGAAGGAGTGTTTATCTCCAGGCCCAGCCACTGCACAATCCGTCTTTTTCTTTGTTCGTCTTGTCAATCGCTGCCCTTCTATGTCTGGCGCTTCCAACCTTACCCCCCAACTCCCCACCCCCCAGCCCCCACCCCCCCCGGCTTATGTCTGGCACTCCCAGAACCCCCGCGTACGCACTCGTGTACATGCTTCACATGTATTTGAAATCAGAGGGGCAGAAAACTGGAAATCATCTTTTTTTTTTCTTTTTTTTTCCTTTTTTTTTCCTTTTTTTTTTTCTTTTGTGACCGACTTCACAAATTCTGCATTTCTTTTTTTTTTTATTTTCTTTTTTTTTGGAAAGTCATCAATATATTGCAAAAATCCAGGGACGAGGCCGGGGACCTCACAATTCAACCCGGAGTTATCCTGGCAGCCTCAGTCAGTTTAGCTTATAGGAATGACCCCCTGCTGGAAACCGGGTCCAGCGTCCCTAAATTCTGCATTTCCGGCCGTCGAACAAGTGGACATCATCCTTTTGATTTTATTGTTTTTCTTACAACAACTGGACGTCATCGTTTTTTTCTTTTTGGTTTTACAGCCGGGCATTGTCGTGTAGGGCGGTTGATGTTTCCTGTACATGGAAGTCTTTTTTCTTTTTTTTTGTCTGCTGCTCCTTTTCTTTTTCTGTCGGTCTGGTGCTCCTCATGTTATGTGGCAGCAAGGCATGTGTTCGAGTGCCACGTGTCAACGTAACCGATGAGCACGTGTTTTAGTGAGGAAGCATCTTCTTTCCATTTTCATCGTGGCTGCAGTCCGTCCCGGTCTTTGAACGGAATACGTTACGTTCGGCTTCCACACGACCACGAACCCAAACGTAACGTAATCCGTTTACCATAATAACGGGTTTGTCTCATGTGGAAGCAAAACGTAGGGCACCCAGGACGGCGGACCCTAAATTGCTCACCCAGCCTACGTAGTTTTTTGGCGCCCAAACGAATCGAGTCTGTCTCCGCCAGGCCGGTATATCGAAAGCGCGCGGCCTGCTTGTAGACGACGGGCCTAAAGTTTCGGAGGAGGCGGCTCGTACTGCTGGTTATTGTCAACATTATCATCATCATTATTATTATTATTATTATTATTATTATTATTATTATTATTATGTAATGTTGGTATATAAGTAAAATTGTGAGTATAATGATTATAACTATTTGTCCCTACTTTTTGATAATCAGGGACGATTTGAGCGGGAGCAAGCTTCACTGCTCTGCTGATCGGACCAGCACGAAACTGGACGTCCTGCTGCTTGCTACTCCACACACACACACACACACACACACAGAGAGAGAGAGAGAGAGAGAGAGAGAGAGAGAGAGAGAGAGAGAGAGAGAGAGAGAGAGAGAGAGANGGGGGGGGGGAGAGGAAAGAAGGGCGAAGTTCAGCCAACCACCGTGTGAGAGAGAGGAGAAAGCAGAGAGGGAAGAGGTCAAATCAAAACGCTAAAGATGGGGAGAAAGAAAGGGCCGGTAGGTCCAAAGCTGCCAAATGGCTTAGTGCGTGAGATGGAGGCTTCCGAGAGTTTGGAAGGTGGCATTCGCCAAGGCGAAGCAGACAGGAGGTTTGACAAAAAGAAGGGTAAAGTTCAGAACAAAAGGAAAGAGAAAAGGAAGATGGAGAGATTGGAGAAACATCAGCGGCGGCAGCAGTGGGTCTTAGCTCAGGCAGCTAGAAGAAGAATGAAGAAGACTGGTCCAGCTCCGTCGAACAGCGTGTCAGCCGCCGCCAAGCCTCTGACCCTATCTCTGATCAACGGTCGTGATCGATCTAGGTTGAGTTCGACGGACTCTGGGAAGAGGTTCGGCAGCGAAGCTGCTGAGGATCGCAAGGGTCATCGTGGCGCCTCCATCTCCTCAGGGAAGCAGAAGAAGGCGGCAAAAGACGACAAAAGTGACAGATGTATTGGCGTTTCCAAGAATAATAAGGGAACGCGTGCATTGAAAGGAGGAGGAGGAGGAGGAGGAGGAGGAGGAGGAGGAGTGGGCGTGGGAATGGGAGGAAGAACGGGCAAGAGAAGGAAGGAAGAAATAGAGGAAGAAGCAATCCGATGCACGAAGAAAAGGAAGCGACCCATGACGCTATTTGAACAGATGGTTCAAGAGGAGATAGAGAGAAAGAGAGGTCCGTCGGGAGAGTTCGATATTCGCACAGAGAGTACATTGAAGAAGAAGCTGAGGTCGAAGGATGGAAGACTGCCCGGGGTGGAGGATGGGTTCAATGATCTGCTAGAAGGGTTGGCAGACTTTGATGAACTTGATGGCTATGGAGGACAGGAGGAGGAAGAAGGAACGGACGAAGAAGAGGGGGAAGACGGAATGGAAGGAGAGGAGGTGGAAGAGGAAGACGTGGAGGAAGAGAGTGAAGAAGAGGAAGAGGAAGAAGAAGAGAAGATGGAGATTTCCCAGGGAGAAGAAAGCGATGGTGCCACAGATGAGGAGGAAGAGGAAGAGGAAGCCACAACGATGGAGGATGGACCATCGGACGGCAGCGATGAAGATGGCGAAGAAGATGATGCAAGTGAACGGGAGAACGGCAGTTCGCAGGAGGAGGACGCGTCATCAGCAGCCACAGAGGATGAGTCTGGAGATGGAGAGAAGGGGAGCAAGTCTTCGGAAGAGGAGGAGGAGGAGGAGGAGGTGGTTAGATTAGCAAAGGAGGGAGGAGGAAGAAACTGTAAGGAAGCAAGGCAAGACGGACACGTGGCAACAAACGGTAGAGTTGCTGACGTGGCTACTGGAGCGGGGGTGAAGTATGTCCCTCCACATTTGAGAGAAGGCAACTCAAATAAGTCAGAGGAGGTGCTGCGGCAGCAGAGACGTCTTCGAGGTCTGTTGAATCGATTGGCGGAGTCCAACGTGGAAAGCATAGCCAGCGAAACTGTTGGCATTTTCCAGAGCTGTGGAAGAAGAACGAGTGGTGAGCTCATGACAGAGGAGATCCTTGCTGCTGCCTGCAGGGGACCCAGGGGTAACGATCAATATGCTGCAGTCTTTGCGGCATTCGTGTCTGGGATGTCGGCGATGGTGGGAATTGATGTGGGGGCCAACTTTGTTTCCTCCGTTGCCCAGGCGATGGAGGAGGAGTATGGAAAGCAGGACGAGTTGGCGTGTCGCAACTTAGCCCTTCTGCTCGGTCGGCTTTACTCATTTGCCCTCCTGCCTCCTGAGCTGATGTTCAATGTGCTCCGGCATTTCATCCGACGGTTCAGAGAGCTGGATGTGGCGATCACCGTCCACATTCTGCAATCTTGTGGCCTGCAGTTAAGAGCCGATGACGTGGTGGGCATGAAGGAGTTCGTGCAGCTCGTGCAGGAGAGAATGGCAGAGGCTAAGTGTGACCAACTGCCACTAACGGAGGCTAACGGGAAGGGGAACGGTGATGGAGGGGGCCAGCATCCTGCGATGGGAAAGAGGGTGCAGTTCATGCTAGAGACCATCTGTGACATCAAGAACAACAAGCGCAAGGTAGCAGCTGGAGGAGCTGGAGGGGGTAAGGAGGAGATGGTACCCTATGCTAGGCTGAAAAAGTGGTTGAAGGGGTTAGGGGTTGAAGAAGTCCAGCTGAGGGGGGTGACATGGGACCTGCTGTTGCAGAAGGACAAAAAAGGTCAGTGGTGGCTCCCTTCAGCTGGCGGAGGAAAAGGCGGAGACGGTCCCAGCATCAAGGACGACTTAGCGGATGCCCTGGAGGTTGGCCTTGGGGAGACCGAGAAGATGTTGCAGCTCGCTGCATCGCAGCGCATGAACACGGAGACCAGGCGCGCTGTTTTCTGCGTTGTGATGAGCAGCGAGGACTACGTTGACGCTTTTGAGAAGTTGTTGAGGCTCCAACTCCCTGGGAAGCAAGACAGGGAGGTCGTGCGTGTAGTTGTCGAGTGTTGTCTCCAGGAGAAGGTGTTCAATATGTACTATGTTCTGTTAGCAAGCAGGTTGTGTAGCCACGACCGGAATCACAAGTTCACGTTGCAGTATTGTTTGTGGGATCAGTTCAAAAGACTTAGTACCATGGAGTTGAGGAGGAGTGCCAATCTAGCGCGCTTTGTGGCTCACGTGATTGCCTCCTTTTCCTTGTCTCTCTCTGTGCTTAAAGCTGTGTCCTTTTGCGACTCCGCTGCCATGACCGCCAAGGCGATCGTTCATTTCAGACTTGTGTTCGAGACACTATTACTGGAACCGTCTAAAGAGGTTGTCTGGTCGGTGTTCACTCGCATAGCAGGAGCGCAGCAGTTGGCAAGCCTGAGAGATGGAGTGACAGTGTTTATGCACCGCCATGTTCTCCCTCTCAGAAATGGAGAGTCCAGTGAGGATCCTCAAGGGAGACAGCGTACGCTTCTGCTGACCGATCGCTGGAAACTAGCAAAAAAAGCCATGTTGAACATTGCCGGTGTTGTTGCAAAGTGATTATCTCTTGCCTCCTCTCTCATCGCTGGAAGTGTATGCACTTGCCGTTTCTTCTCCGTAATCCTGCTGATGCTATATCCCTCACCTCATCCATCTCTCCTCTGGTTATCTGTCTGAGTTAGATTTGTTTTTCCTTTTTGTGTGTAATGATGAGGATGTGCGGGTGTGTGTGTTCGTGCACATGTGTTATGAAACAAGCACCAGATATGCATCCAGAAACTTAAGGAAGACGAAAAAAAGTTCAAAGCCTGCCATCTCTGTGTGGTTGTGTGGGGAGTGGCCACACCGCTGCCCGCTTAACACACATCTGCACGTAGAAACCAAAGTAGTTGACACCTGCCGAACAATTCAGTCATGACTGACTCATCTGTCAACTCTGTGTGTGTGTGTGTGTGTGTGTGTGTGTGTGTGTGTGTGTGTGTGTGTGCATGTGTGTGCATGCGTGTGCGTGCGTGTGCGTGCGTGTGTGTGTGCGTGCGTGTGAGTGCGCGCGTGTGTGTGTGTGTGTGTGTGGAACTGAAAAAGAAAAGTGGCTCATGCTGAGTGTTTTGACCTTCTTTCCTTTTTCTTTTTCCCGTCTTTATCCCCCGCTTTCATAAGGCTAGCTAGGGGAATGTTATCTGTGCTATTTGAGGAAATATGAAAGCATTGTTGGTTCTGAATTTTTTTTATTATTATTATTATTATTATTTTTTTTTTCTGGTTGTGCTTGGCTAACTTGGCGCGTCTGGGATCACACTGTTTTTGTTGTAGATGCAACGGAGAAGACATATCCGATGTGCTGTCTCCCAGGATTTTTTAGGGTCTTCTGCTCGGATGGCAAGCGCTTCTTCCCTCTCTCACGTTATCGCCTTCTCATCTCAGTGTCCAAGTCACTATTCTCAGTATCAGCATGTCGTCCCTGGAAGTCCCTACCCAGCTCACTCTTTGGAATTGCATTCTGTACTTCCGCTGAGTGTCCCTAGAACTCTCTGATGTCCCTAGAACTCTCTGATGGGTTTAGGTACTACCTTTCTGCTGAGTGTCCCTGGAACTCACTACCACAGTCACATTCTGTACTTAGTCTCTGATGGCTCTCTGATGGGTTTGGGTACTGCCTTTCTGCTGAGTGTCCCTGGAACTCGCTGTTCCTACCACCCGGCTCACTCTTCGAAATCACATTCTGTACTTAGTCTCTGATAGCTCTCTGATGGCTTTTCCCTCTCTGATGGCTTTAGGTACTACCTTTCTGCTGAGTAGCAGTCGCATAGAACGTGAGAGAAGTCATGGCCGGCTGTTCTGCTGAGCAGTAGTCACACAGAAGTGATGGCTGTGTGTTCTGCTGAGCAGTCGTACAGAAGTGATGGCTGCCCGCCTGCCTGTTCTGCGGAGTAGTCAATCACACTGACGAGACGGCTGCCTGTTCTGCGTAATGGTCATATTTAGAATTGATGGCTGCCTGTGCTTCTGAGTAGTAATCACACAGGCATGGTGACTGCCTGTTCTCTGTTCTGCAGAGTACCGTCTTTCCCCGAATAGAACGCATGTTGTATTTGGCTGAAGATGGTAGTAGTCACACAGAAGTGGCGACCGCCTGTTCTGCTGTGCAGTAGTCACACAGAAGTGACGGCTGCCTCTTCTGCCGACTCCAGTAGTAGTGACACAGAAGTGACGGCTGCTTATTCTGCTGAGTAGAACCGCAGAGTCTTCGGACGTGATGGCTTAGATTCGACCTTCCGACTGTCTGTTCTGCTGAGTATAGTCATACAAAACCTTAAGGGACATTCATTCCGCGCAGCGTCTCTAGGCTTTCTTACTGCAGCAGAAGTGATGGTCACAAGGCTTTTTTTGCTTTTTTTTTCAAGAGGACTTTTGTTTGCGTGACTCGTGTTCAAAAGACTTGGATGGTGGTCTGTGTACCTGCCCGGTGTGTGTGTGTGTGTGTGTGTTGCCACTGTTGCTAACACATCAGGATTTTCAAACTACTGTGATTTGAGTAGAGTTGTAGCTGAATGGTCACACGCATAGCTGTTTCTCGATCGGTCATGGGTTCAAATGGTGGTTGATACTATATCATGTCAGGGGCTATAGCCGTTATACTCCCTTTTAAAACCATCAGTACTGCCGAGCCGCTTTTCACTTTTGCCTGGGGCTCCAAACGCCCTGCAAAACAAAAAAATGAACCGGCATCGGCCTCGTTTTGGCTAATGCAAACCAGCCATTTTGCTCCGGCTGCTGACCGCCGAAAGTTGCGGGCGCATGCAAGGTGCATCGGAGAAAAATGGCTGGGAAACATACTTGTGGTTTAAACTAGAACACAAGAAAGAAAGTTGGGAGGGGGAAAAGGGATTGGACTGACTGTTCCCAGACTGAGCATGGAGCCATAAGGACCTGTTTTTTGTAGGAAAGGTTCCGAAAGAAGAGAAAAAAAAAGTTGTGGAGGTGGTATGAGCCAAGGCAGTGCCAGAGAACCTTATGCTGCGGCAACGTCCTTCTTACCTGAATTAGGGCATCATACTCGCACTGGGTCTTTTTCAACTTCTCTCTGGACGTAATTGCGGTCAGGTGCATCCAGGCATAGCCGTAAAAGCGGTCACGTACAGTGAGGAATATGGTCGTTAAGTATGGCCTTATTCATTACTGGTAATTGATCTGCATGCTCTATGGATCAGAATGATGATCTGCATAACATAGGATCGGTGGTGGGACAAGATCATTGAGGTTTTCCTTAAAAAAAAAAGGAAAGAAAAGATCACGACGACCTGCCGGAGTGAGATGGCTAGGGAACAGGCAGTACAATCTGTTGAGTTCGGTCTTCGGCCTGCTGGATGTATGATTCTGTCGCGGTTTGTCTGCTGCATGCCGGATGTATAATGCGGTCAGTTGTCTTCTTCTTCTTCTTCTTCTTCTTCTTCTTCTTCTTCTTCTTCTTCTTCTTCTTCTTCTTCTTCGTCGTCGTCGTCGTCGTCATCGTCTTCGTCATCTTCGTCTTCTTCGTCTTCTTCGTCTTCTTCATCCAAATTCTCATCTTTTCTTTTTCTATACATTGTGTTAAATTTGTGAGTGGGTCTGTGTGCTCGGGCCCATGGTCGGCAGAGCAGAGAAATGGCCTGGGCTCAGTTCGTCATTGTTCTTTTTTTGGTTGGTCCCTAGTTTGCCTTTGTTTTCTCTTGTTGTTTTTTTTTTTTTGATGCGCGGTAGCGCTTTGGAGATTTGCAGGGGATGCTGTGTTCGAATCCATGGTCAGAGCTGTTCAAGGACAAGTACACACTCAGCAGATATGGCTGAATGATTAACCCATCAATGTTTGAAAAGGGGGCGGCGGGGGAGAGGGGGGGGGTGAAGGAGGAGGGGATGAAGTTGATCATGGAAGAACACCGAGATCGTGATACCGATCGTCACATTTTCCATTCTTTTCTCTTTAATGCTGAGAGAGAGAGAGAGAGAGAGAGAGAGAGAGAGAGAGAGAGAGAGAGAGAGAGAGAGAGAGAGAGAGGTCACATAGACTTCTGTTTTTCCTATCAGATGAACAGTATACTACAAGACTCTGATTTTTGTTTTGTTTTTTTTGTCAACCAGTGACAACCAGTGAATATTTGTGGTGAGGACTCGAACTCAGGTCTGAGTACGTGTGACTCGTGTTTGAGCAGTCGAAACGAAAATAGAAAAGCAGCTTTATTATTATTATTATTATTAATTTTTAATCGGAACTTTATAATACAGTCCGGGAAACGGGCCCGGTGTCCCTTGACCATGTTGTTGTGCTCCCCCAACGAGACGGCATCACCGGATGAAACCGGAGGGGAATTCGCAATGTTACCAAAGAAAAAGCAAACGCAATGTAAGCAAGAAGCAGATGTGGTGGTATCTCTTTGCACATTCCACAGCACTATCAAAGAAACCAGAAAGCTAATGGTAAATTGAAAGAGCAGGTGCTGTAGCCAAAGTTACAATGGCAAGCCAAATGTAAAGAGATGAAGGAGGGAAGGCTAAAGGAAGAAGGTTGAAAATTGCAGCTTATTGAATGGCTGATACTATAGACTGCTTCAAGTCATACGCTTCAAACAGTTGGTCCAAGTCGGCCAGTGCTGTGGCGAAGGGTTTGTAACAGCACTTTTAGGTCTGTGTGTGCGGATGGGGTCAACGGTAGGCAGAGAGGGAGAGGAGGACAACAAACAAGGGGCTGTGACAAACTGTTTCATCAGAGTTTCATTGACTCGTCAGGAGGCTGAACTCCGAAGAATCTGCAGAATCCCCTAACTGTTACGGACTTCGCCAGGGCTCGATCCCTGGTCTATCTTTTGCTGTTTTGGCTGCATCCCGTTCTCAGCCTGGCACCCTTTTTCCAAACCCCCCCTTTGGTACCATAGGATTTTGGACAACTGGCGCCATGCTGCAATTTGGGCGCCACTTTCAAATATTGCATTTTTCAGTTCTGCCCTCGGGGCCTTTGCAGAAATGCCCCTGGTACCGTACGTGTCACCGGTACTTATACCGGCTCCCTGTACGGTACGGGGGCCAGTCTCGTACCAGTTCTCTGCTGCTGTACTCGTACTCAGTGTGACTTGCTGTTTCGGCATTCGGAATCCAAGACTTCGACTTTGTGCCTTGCCAACGTGTCTGCGTCCGATCCTCAGTCCCAGTCAGTCGTGTCGAGTGAGTGAGTGTGTGTGTGTGCTCTCACTCTCTCCCTCTCTCTCCTCTCCCTCGGCTCACCCTCAGCCTCACRCTCGYTACACTGGTATCGGAGCGATTCGCTCCCCCTTCGTCGCCGTRACCTTCAGTGCCGTACCACGTCATCACCGYCGTCATCAAGACCTCCGTCGCCGCTGTGCCACGTCATCGTCGTCGTCGAGACCGTCGCCGCCGTGCCACGTCATCAGCGCCGTGCTCCTCGTTGCCGCCTTGATCCTTGATTGCCGCCATCGCCAGGTAAGCAACAATTTTTTTTTTTTTTAATTTCTTCGTCCTATTCTTTCTTTCTTCTTCTTCTTCTTCTTCTTCTTCTTCTTCTTCTTCTCCTCTCCCGCTGCCGCGATCCCCCCCCAACTACGATTCCCCCCCCGATCCCAATCTCCCGCCCCTCGGGATCCC